ATGTCGCATGTTCAAAGGAAGAAACAACGAAACTCAATGAAGAAGTCTGTATCATAGATGGTCACTTTTGTCATGAAGTATTGGTTCGCAAACCTGCTGCTTTGTTGAAGAGGTGGATGTGAGATGTGTGATGAATTTGTGTACAGATTGCCTGGGCAGAGATGGCTTTTGGTACCTAAGTTCTGTCACGGCATGTCACAGAACTTCTGCGTGACATGCTCCAACTTGATCCGCCCACCGCCTTGCTCAGGCCAAGAAAGAAAGACACCGGTCCACCCCACCGTCGACCGGTCCACGCCACGGTCCATCCGCCGTCGCCGACGACTCCGGCGGCGAATCCGCCGTCGAGGCCGAGATCGGCGCGGACGAGCAGCGCGGTGCGCGCGCGACGAGCAGCACGGTGTGGTTTGCCCTGAATCCGAAGCTGGTTCGAAGTGAGAATGTTGAGACTCCAGCGGAATTCGCATTTTTTGTTGTTGTTTTTGCAAAGTTGTTTGTTGCGCAATTTGTTTTTGGGGGATATAGAGTAGTAACATCTACTCTATATATATTAACAGATTCACATCGAAGTATATAAACATGTCAAACATATATCCCGTTGTTGTTTGATTTCAGACTTTGAGAAACATGTCAGGAATGTCCAATATCTGGCTACACTCTGGCTGCAAGAAGCGGAAAACATTCACTCCATGTGTCACTTTCGTTCGTGAGTCGGAGGGTTGGCAAAAAACCAGACCTAGTAGCTAGAAGCTACTAGGTGGAGGCCATCGCTATTAGGGTGGAGGCGATTCCTAATAGGTTCCTTTGGAAGCTACGAGCGTAACAAGGGCATTACTACTCACATCTCTGGCAGCGCCTGCAGGCACCTCTCCCACCAATGGGGCTTTGGAATAGTTCCCCACCATCGCTTCACTGCTTCGCGACTCCGTTAGGCCGGCCGAAGCTGGGCCGCCGCAGGCGCCGAGCGCGCATAACCGCGCGATCCCCCGAGGTTCAGCCCGTGGGCTCCCCCCACAAAGGATGTTGATGTTCTTCATTACTAGTAGCTTTTAGCTACTAGTAGCGATGCACTTGTTACTAGTACTATAGTAGCTGTATTGCAAATTGTAAATCAATGCGCAATCTGTATACCAGCTCCAGTTCCAGAATAACCCTCATTTCCTGCCGCGTCCCACGTCCAACAAACACCTATGACTCGTCGAATGACCACCCCCATTCCAAGTCGAGTAGCTTCGAGTCCGATCTCCAGGTACCGGAGAGCTCCTATCCTTCAAATGTGGAAGCTACAGTTCAGGAGCTTCTCAAGCTGGCCGAGGTGATCGAGGCGGGACACGTGTCCGGCTTCCGGGAATCGAGGGAATGGTGATACATGGCGGGAAAGAGACGAAAGCCAGCCGATAGGCTAGGCTGAAGTTCGGTTAGGCGAACGAAGTGTGAGTATTAGGGGGTGTGGGGGGTGGTCGCACACGGGTGAATTTTGGAGGGCGAACCCAGAGCCTGGTCGGGGAGAGCAACGACAAGTATTTGCAGTTTGGGAGTAGTTTTTTTGGGTGTTGTGATGCCAGTGATGTATTTGACGGCCAGTAGTGCACTATTAGCATCATGAGCGGCTCAGGAGGCACTCTAAACCGTCTTCTAGGAAAGAGGAGGCAACGGGACGTGAATAGTGGCTGGAACTCCTTCATGAAACGAAGATGGCGACTGAAGCCGTGTTTGGTGAAAGGGAGGTGTGTGTCTCTTAAGACATTGTGCGATCTGCAGGGCGGGGGGAGGGCGTGGTAGGAAAAGAGGGTCTGTAAGAAATCTTGGAGTTGCTGGGGGTGCCCTCTTTAATGGTGAAGACGCCCGTCAACCATACGCAAAAGGGCACCCCATATGGGGTGCGAATTGATGTAATGATGCGGTCCGTTGAGGGCAGGAGAGAGAACAGAATGCAGCGGGCAAACTTTGAGTTGCTTGGGGACTTGGGGATGCCATTTTCGAACGAAGAAAGAGGCGTAGTAGCGAGACTCAAAAGGGCACCCCATATGGGGTGGGAGTTAATGTGGATGAGACAGGTGCAGGAGGACGTGATAGGAAAAGAGGGATTGCAAAAAACGATGTGAACCATTGAGAACGGGGAGGAAAAGAATGCAGCGGGCAAGCTTTAAGTTGCTTGGGGTGCCCTTTTCTTATGGTGAAGAGGCCTGTTGACCAGACGCAACAGGGCACCCATATGGAGTGGGAGTTCATGTGCAGGATAGGCATGGCGGGGGAGGATGTGATAGGAAAAGAGATGGGGAGCTCACCAGGGATCTCGCATTCACCCCCCCATGACCGTATTGAATAATATTGATATCTTTTACGGCGGCTGGCTTTCGTCCGCTCCCTTCTCATGGTATTAACATATACTCTAACTATATGTGGTCATAAACAGGACCTAGGACTTTTTGGTGGGGAGGGCCAAGTCCGAAGTCTGAGATGGAGTGGTTGACCGCTCCAGTGACTGAACAACGGCTCCAAACATCCTTCCACGTTTTCTGAAACATCAGAGCTTCCGAGTGTTTTTCGTGCTCGGAATTCTGCCTTCATTTGTTCGGAGCTTCGAAATCCTGTTAGACTTCCTCGCTGCTGTCCAGTTGGTTTTTTGGGGACATTCCTCAGTTGTCAGACCTCCTAGAAAAGGCCATTGTTGCACGCTGTATCAGAGAGTCGTGCGGACTGTGCTTTGCTGTTTTTTTTCGTCGGCAGGCCGCGGAAGAAACCAAGGAAAAAACATTGGAATTGGAGCAGGAGGAGCTTGAGGTTGAGGAAATGGAGGAAGTTGAGGAGATCAGGTTTATAGCCTCTTGTTCAAAAGATTGAACTTAAAAAAAATCCTTTCACATTATGGCAAGCCTGCCGAAAAGTGCTCAAGAGTAGATGTTTTCCAGAAGGAGGTGGAAGAAGGTGAGGAAGAGTCACGGGACGATGACGAGACCTTCAGTGAATGCTCAAGCGGTTCAGGCCAGGAAGACATCATAAATGTGTGCTAACTGACGTGTCCAGACTGAAAGTATATCTAAATCCATCACATTGGATCGCAGGGGTGTGTAATTTTTTTTCATAACAACATGCCCAATAGGCATGTATCGGCGATAGATTGCAGGGGCAACGCCTTGGGGCCACACCCTGCGATAAATGTGATTTTTGATGCCTCGGGAATGCCTAGGAGTCCAAGGCCACGATTAAAAAAACGATCTTTAGGTGGTCCGAAAAGGAATTTCTTTTATTCAAGACGCTTCGCGTCGACAGCCGCCCACACCGCGCACGAACATCCGAAGTTAGGCGCCAGGTTGGCTGTTTTACAGCTGCGTTGGAGCCATCTTGGGGCCAACTTCGTCTACCTTGGGGCCCATAATGGTGATACAACTTCGGCATTGCCAAAAACCATCCAAACATACACCTCCAAAACGCTCTCCCCAGTGGCCCTGCAGCCGAGCAAGAATCAACGCAGCAACCGCCCCAAAACAACAACTCCTCCAAAACGCTCTCCCCAGTGGCCCTGCAAGCACGACGTAACGAATAATCATCCAAAAATGTACCTCCAAAACGCTCTCCCCAGTGGCCCTGCAACCCAACCATAGCCGCGTACGCGCGAAAAAAAAAGACTAGCAGAGCTATTTGCGTAGGATGTTTTTGCTAAAATGCAGAGCTCAAGAGCCCCAAAGCACGCCCTGCACCGACAAGCGGTGTGGGTGCCAAAAATGGTCGAATTGGACTTCTAGGGAATGTGCATGTTTCTTGTTCACACTCAAAGCTTCACACAGAGTTCGTGCCGAGCACAGGTTCGCCTCATGCCAAAGACAGGCCCGTGATGACGTCTAAACGTGCGACGTGTGTTTCGGTGCCAAGGGCCGAGTTTCTCGGTCCACATCCACCGGTCTTTGAACGGCCGACAAAATACATCGCGTGTTGGGTTCGGTGACATGACTCGGACCATGTGAACATACTAGACTCATTCTAGGATATATAGACATTTGCTCTATAGGTATTATATTTGCTCTATAAAAATCAAAGGGTTTTGAGATGCATCTTCATTTTGAGGCAGGTTCGTTCATTCGCCACGTTCGCTGGTTGAGTGTGGAGGCAAGTGTGGCGGCCTGGGCGTCCCAATCTCAATGAGATGCGTCCCATGATTTTCTGCAGAAAAAACAAAATTCTTGCTGTGTCGGTGGCCAAACAGAACGAGGAAGCCTCTCCAGGATGGTTGTATATTTGACAATGTCGAATATCCCAGACACGACCCGACGACTCTGGAACTGGCATATGCGACAACCTGTCGACGGGTGGTTGATTTCGGTCGTATTTGGCCGCGCCCGGCCGTATTTGGGTCACTAGAGTTGAACTTCCTCCCAGGTAGCCTTGATGAACTGGTACGGTAGCCTAGTCATGCCTAGTCCATTCTTAAATTCTTTGCATACATTTTTTTTTGCGCATGAAGAAGAGTTCAGTGAACTGCTCCGTTTGGCGAACTGCTGGAGATCTTTGAAGGGACTTCGTGGCGGAACTTGGGAAAAGAACAGGTGTTCACTTGAAATCACTTCAAGATGCGGAAGATCATGAAGAAGAGAAACACGTGACAAGAACAGAGGGCATGAAGCAGATGAACCTTTTTGAACATAGAGCGGAAACGCAAAAGGATGGGAAAGGGGAGCAAGAGAGAAAGATCAAACAGTTGAATTACAATCCACGAACATATATAACCAAAAAACAAATTGTCGGGGAGAATGAGCAGTATAAGGGAAGACAGTCACAGACGGAGGATGAAGAGTCTGTGAGTGACTTGCAGTTCCAATTGGGTCTCAGCCAAACTCAGGATTTCGATGATATTCCCCTCCTGAGCTGAGCTGACAGTTTCACTTCTTAGCCAGGGTTGGGGAGTTCGCAGTTGGGTTCACCAACTGGTGTAGAAACATGTAGAAACGGGCTGTTCATGGATGTTCCCTTTGCAACAATTCTCTCAATGAGGGGGTCCAATAGTCCCACCCCTGTTCTTAGCGGCGATGAAGCTGAATTTCCGCCAGAATCTTGATCAGTTTCTGGGGTACCCGCCACACGGCGAAAAAAGACATGGATGCGACTGTGCTCAGTCTCGACATATGTCGACATGAAATGAATGCCGCACTTCGTTGATCTCCAAAGATTGCATTCATGTGACCGCGCCGCGCATCCGGCTCGAAACATGTTTAAAAGACCTCACTTACTTATGTTCAGAGACCCAATAGGGTCTCCAGGTCTTGAGCCCCGACGTCATGCCGCATGAGCCGCGCATCCGGCATCCTGGAGCAGACCAGGATCGTCCATTTCCAGCTCTCCTAACCAAGCTCCACCAGTTGGCAACGCCTGCGGTGGAAGATGAGTGGATCGAACCAGAGGAAGCGAGCCTTTGTGGCACGCCCTACCGAAGGCCACAGCAGAAGATCAGCCATGCCGAGTCGAAACCTGAGTGGTGTGTGGTTTTGGGGGAGGTGTTTGGGCGTTTTCGATTCAAGCACAAAGTTGCTGTCTTTGTCTCAGTCAGAGGCTTCTATCATCTTATCACTCACAGATACTCACCGATTCTAAAAGAACTGAAACATAAACATCAGAACAATTAAGGGCAATTGCTCTAATCCCGAGTACCTATTAAAAAACGGACCCCTATTAGAAAAAAGTCAGGTCGGAAACCCCTAAATACGGTTTATATGTTTTTTTTTTTTTTAATTACCGCCCTTTCAAGCCGCTACTAAACTACCAACATTGCCGACTTTGGAGGAGTTTTGTTTATTAGGTTCCAAAAACAACCGTGACTGCCCACCTCTGTCCGCCCTGTCTATCCACCATGACACGCCGCGCTTACACCAGCAGGCTTTCCTTCCCCCAATGGCACGGACTCACGCAAACGCACTTGCCACCGAGGTCATGCAACACCGCATGGCACAGCGACATCACCTTTCGAAAGCTTTAGCTGTTAGTCTACTGAAGAATCACTATTCTAATGATGGTGTTTGTAGGGGAAAAGGAAGACCCTTCGATCTGGAGCTTTTTTGCATTTTTGATATGAGGTTAATAAAGGAGTTTATATAAACTTTTACGGATTTACTTTTTGGTTTTGAAGCTCTTCCCAGGTGACCCTATTTTGGACCCCCCGATTTCTGGGACCCCCTATTAGAAAAAATGCGACCGAGGTTTCCTTATTTGGGGGAGGGGGGGGGCCCGTGTTTTTTAATAGGTGGACCGGATTATAGATCTTGACTCACTGGAGTAGTTCTTGTAGCGTAACCTGAATCTGAAGCCTTAGCGTGTCGCGCCCGACATCCCATCGGATCATCTTCGCTCCCAAAACGGCCCGTTTCTTCACCCGAGCGACGCGACCGAGGTTGATGGCCCGACGCGAATTTCCCGCGGTCGCCGAGCGGATCCTTCGAGAGTTGCGCGGGGGGGGACGGGCGCCGATTCAGCTCCCCTGCGGTGAGCACGATGGATGCCTTGCAACAAGCGACCTGGGCGCAGTGATGTTTGTCGGCCATCGCTTCTCTCAGAGCCAGTGATGTTTCAGTTCATTCCGTTTGATTTCCGGGAATACGACGGAGTCTGGGAATAAGATGGAACAAGCCAAGGGTCTCCAAGTTATGCTCTAGTTCTTTGGTGACCCCCAAATCACGAAAAACGTGGTGATGGTGAGTTTGGGTTCCGCATCTGTCCCTTTCCCAGACACTATGTATGCCATATTTGGTATAATATACATTCTAGTTCCATGGAGTGTTTGGGTTTTGGATTCCATTCCGGACGCCGCACTTCGCTCTCTCTCGCCACACCGAGCGGTGCTGCCGCGGCCGAGGTTCTGCCTTTGTCGCCGAAGGCTCCTGGAGCCCGTCGCGCCACCGTGGCGGCAGTGCTGTCGCTGGCGCCGGAGGAAGACGGGGTCGTCATCCCTCGTCGGCGTGAGCAGACCTGGGCGGGACAGGAGGTGGAGGAGACCCGGAAGCTTGCAGAACTGGAGGACACAGAGGAGGAAGTTCCTGCTGTGCATCGACAACCCTCTGGAGAGTCCATTGCAAGCTCGAGTGCTTGCTGGAAACACCCAGACAGTGCAGCACCGAGATCTGTGAGCAATTTTGCAGGAAAGTAGCTTCAATTCGGCCATCCCTTTGGGTCCCTTCGGTTTGTTCTGAGCATGTATTCACCCATTGGCCCAAGTTCACCCCCAGCAGAGAATTGATGTTGACCCCCATCCCACCCGAGCAGCAAAAACATCGAGGTGTGATTTTCATCATTGACTGGGACGACACCATCTTTCCAACGACCTGGATACAGAAGAAGGACCGCCCTCCCGTCTCGTCTTGTCTCGTCCTGCCGAGTGACAGTGAGAGCGAAGCGAATGCGAAGCGACTGCGAGTGGGTCACGTCGTCTTCCGGATCGAGTCCCTATACCCAGACACTCCATGTATGGAATATATGCCTACATGGGGGTGGTTTTGGAGGTCAATGTATATAGGCATATATGGCAGTCCCACGTGTCTGGGATAGATTCCGAAGCGCCTTCCTGTCTGGACGACGACGCCTTGCGGCCGTGACGTTTCGACTCCCAGGATTGGTTTGGCCAGTGGACGCGAGCCGTGAAGCTGGGTGAACTTCTTTGCAGCGAAGATCTTGATATCTCATCAGAAGATCAAGCATTTCTGGATGAGTTGGATCGAGTTGCATCGTCCTTCCTTCTCGCGGCCAGCTATCTGGGACACGTCAGTCGCGTGGACCAGTCCGTGGACATCGACCGTTCGGTCCGAGCGAAGTCGTTGACTGAACTCGGTCGTGGTGAGGGCAGCCAGCAGCACCGGAAGGCATGCCTTCGGCCTCCAACCCCACGGCAGCCATGGCCTCCAACCTCCAGTGCGGTTTTTGTGTGTGTAGATCCCTCTGGATGAAGAAGAAACCACCACAAAGGAAAGACATCCGACCACGACCCAGCTCTTTCGGTCAGACGACTTGCGAGAAAATCACCCTGGGTTCTAGCGATGGCATGTAGAATAACTTGATTCGAGATCAAAGTTCCATGATTGTCAGTTCGGGGGTCGGTCTCCCTCGTTGGGGAGCGACCCTGCGGTTGTGGGTTCTGCGGTTCTGATCCTGCACACAGCGGGTCATTTCCAACTATGCCCAGGTTGTGTGACGCTCGCTCAAAGACCTTGGCAAACACGAACCATGCAAGCCTTCCTTCCAAAGCTGTAGAAGACTCAGTTCCTTTCAGCTCCTTTCAAAGGATCAAGTTGCATGAAATTGAGTATAGTTTGCTGACATTTGCTGGCTTTGACATGTTCTTGCTTGGGTTTGCTTCATGTTCATAGTCGCTCCTTGTGGCTGGCCAGCAGCCCATGTCCACAAGAGTGTCGACGCGCTGCTAGGTCCACACAGTGGGAGAAGCTTCAAGTGTCTGTGAGCTATGCTCGAGAGGAGAAGCCCCTGGGACCTCGATGGAACATCGAATCTCATGGGAATGAGTCCCCTTGTGCATTTTTTTGAACATAAAAAAACTTGAACATAAAGTAACATAAAGGAGCCTGGGAAGAGCTTGGCTGCAGCTGAAGTCCGTTCTTTTGCGTCTTGTTTCTATCTTTAGCAGCTCAGACGCGAGCTCGGCACAAACCTGAGGGCCTTTCATGGGAACGATGTCTTCAGCGATCCCAATCCGTCGGAGTACGAGATGTTGCGGGAGATGGCCTATGCCAAGAAGAAGCAGAAGGCCCACGGAAGAAGCAAGAAGCGACTGACTGTGAGGTCATGTTCCGAGGGTTTTTTGGGTCTGAGCCGCCCAGTGGGTGGAGCTGCTCTTTCGAAATCGTCCGATTCACGAAAGGAGCACGGCACAGGACGTGCCTTGTCGTTCCTTTTCGTTCGGACACCGGACTCGACCCGTGGGGGAGGTGGGGTGCCATGCAGGGATTGATGTGGACCGTTTGCCGTTTTCACTTGCTGCGCATGGGCTCCGCACGGCCGCTCCGCAGCCGCGGGGGGCTGGTGCGGGTGAGCACCGTCCGACGCCCGCTGGTGCGCCAGGTCCGGTTGATGAAGTGCCCTAAGAGTCCTGAGACCATCCATGGCAGGAATCCAGACCCTCACAAAACCCTTTAGATTTGGAGGAGAGTCTTTGTGTCCGGTTGCAGCGCAGTCTTCATGGGATCATATTATCTCCCATGATATTCGGACTCGAATATGGGAGGTGTTGACGTCTGTAGAAAACGGGCATTCTTTAGTCTCAAGGAGGTAAACTCACCGGGAAGGGGTCAGGTAGTGCATTTTCTAGCGACCTGTAGGTCACTAGGAAATGAGAAGCACAGGTCTCATAGGCATGCTGGCAGGGTCATTTTCTAGACATCACCTTGTTTTCTTGATCCCACCGTGATCCTCATTTTCTAGTGAGATGCCCCATTTTCTAGCAAACATGATGAATCATGATGAGTCAAGACGGAGTTTAAGCAAAACATAACAAAACATAAATTGAAAATCCTCGAGATCTAGAAGCAGAAACCTCAAGAAAGACCTTCAGAATATTCAAGACACACCCCTAATTTTCAGTCCGGATATCATGGGGGAAGGGTGGACGCAAGCGCGCGGAGCGATTTTTTTGCGAAGGGCATCGCGACTAGGAGCAAGGATGCTAAACACTGATTCACGAGGCTGCGTTCCTCATTTCCTAGGGTGCTGACATTCATCATTCCCCAGGAAATCACTAAAGAATGACCAGGACTGACCCCTCCATGTGATTTGCATTGGGGGATCATACCCAGAGACTCCAAATGCACCAAAAATTCTGCCACCTCAGCAAAAAGCGCCTTTACCCGTAATTTGGCCTGAAAAAGGGCATTCGGCGTAATTTGCTAAAACCAAGATAGATTCGGCGTTTTTGGTTTTTGAGGTTCTTGAACATATTGATTGGTTGATTAGATGCAGAACCAATCCGGGTTGTGGTGATTCATGATAACTCAGCTCGACAATCCTCTAGGGATCAAATACCTGGTGAACCGGGCATTCTTGAGGTGCGCCCTGGCTGCTCACGCCCAGTGTTTTTCTTCAGTAGTTCCTACCTCTTGCCAGGCCAAGCATGGTTGGCTTAGGGGTTCATTGTAATCCAGCCATGGATCCGACCAAGGAAACCGTTTATTAAAATTATAGAAATAGAGAAGGCCTGGCAGAAATGCCAAATGGTTTCTGTGGCCCGAGGCAACCCTCTTCCCTGATTTCCCATTAATTATTGCAGTGGCACAAATCTGTTGTTGAACATATTCGGTGAATGGAAAGATTTGATTCCATCACCAAGGTGAAAGTTAGTGGACTGTGCATGGACCATGCACAATTCAACATAAACTCACCGTGAACCAACCGGGCACCCTTGCGTGAAATCGTGGCAGTCAAGTTGTTCACAGTTTCCCAAAGTTTTGTCATCCCTAGATCTCGGCGTAATTGCCCGATAATTTGGCGTAAATCTCCGATAATTTGGCGTAACCATGTTTTTGCTTAGTTGTGGTTTCCTATATAAGAATCAACATCTTGGATGGCTGCACTGGAAAGATCTTTTTGTTGGCCCAATAGTTGCAGCTGTTCTACAACCACCCTTGTCAAGGGAGGTTGGATCATGAAAGGGCAAAGCGGCAACTCATTTTTTGGAGAGTGATCCGGAGATTCAAAGACAGAACTTTGCTTGCCTGGATTGGCCTTTCAAGAAAACCCTAGGGGAAATATCAAGAAGGTCCGGAAGACAAAGCATGCACTTAGGCAAACATTGTTGGGTCTTTCAAGTGTGTTCTCTGTAAGCACTCCCAAACTGTGGATTAACTATCTCTGTCCCCAGGTGCAAGGATTCCAAGGTATCCAAACTGTGGATGCCAATCCCTCGGTCCTCATATGTAAGCCCAAGCTGTGGATGGTCACCCTGTGGTTTGGTTTGGGAAAGGGGCGGGGAAGGGCTTGGTAAGACTGGCAAGATCTGGCAAGTGCTGGTTTGAGAATCTAGCAAATGAAAACCATTGAAAACCACTAAAGTCGGCAGTTTTCATATTGCTCGGCGTTATGTTTTGGATTCGGCGCTTTTCGATGAATTTGGCTGAAATCAGGGCACAATGGTGCCTCGGCGAAAATTTCTGCCAACGGTTCCTCTAGGTATTTATACATCTTTACTTACAGTACATTGACGTCTGGGGGAATTCGAAGGACGCATGGCCATGTGGGCCATCCGTCCTTCGGTCCAGCGATGTCCACTTTGTCCAATGGCGATGTCACGATGATTCGGTCGTCGACGCAGGCGATGGAGCGGGTTCTGAGAAATTTCTACAAAAAAAGGCGAGAGGTCGTCGACCGGTGGAGACGACCGACACCTGAGATTCGCCCTGGTCGTCGGTGGTCGGACTTGGCCGCGGTGGCAGAGAGCTTTGGCAGGTTGCAAAGCAACAACGTATACTTATATAGCAAGATTGTCTGGTGTTTTTTTCAAAGCATTACTTGGTGGCTACTGGTCTCCTCTTCCTTTTCCATGTATTTTTATACTGTAAGACTAGACGCGCACTTAGAACATATTTTGGATGTTTTTTTTTAAGCTGGTAAATGTTACGTTCTAAGTACATGTCTGCAAGTATAGGATTTATTGTGCTGCGATGCTAACATTCAAAACTGGTTTCCATCTAAAACCAACGTGTCTTTCATCCAGCAGCCTAATATGATGGGGAAAACACATGAAAACATTTTTTCATGTGAGAAGAACTCCATCCATTAGCGCAGCAAACCTTCCGGAAATCAATTCGGGGTAGCCGAAAACAGTCCGAATCGGTGATGCCAGGCAGTTGGAAGAACGTCATCAGCCTGGGTGATGGACCTGCTGAACGACGGGCCTTGCAAGAGAGCCTTGGAGAGAGCCTGCCGCGACGAGCGGCCGTGAGGGTTTGGGACTCCCGCCTTTTCGTCAGAGTTGGCCGGTCAAAAGCTGGGCGCCCCCAAAAAAACGAAAGGCAAAGCCCACACATCACATGATGTTGACACAATTCATCCAGTTTCTTCAAAGTGACCTCACTGGAGTGCCTAGTCGTGGACCTTTTTGAAACCCTATTGACCTGAAACTGTGATCTTAAAGGGTTTTGAAGAACCAGGATAATATACATGTTACAACTGGACCACTCAATAAAGAGCACACGTGTGTAACGATCTACTGAGATTGGGTCCCAAGAACGTCGGACGCATCTTTGCCAGTCTTGAAGACCCCCTTTTGAAAGGTTTGCAGCTGAAGGGTCATCAACAACCATCTCATCCAGCACCACGGAAAGGGTAGTTTATAGACACCCCTGTACTATGTAGTTTCCATCCAAAAACAAACCTTTAGGTGGTGCTGGATCTAGTCCAATCAAGGCAGTGTCCAAGTCTGTGTCCCGCACCTGACCTTGAAATCAAGGTCTCAGGGCTACACGACTTCTCGGTCTCAGGGCGACAATGGCTTGCAGACCTCACAAGCTTACAGACTTCACCCAGAAATTCCGTGACGAAAATGAACTACTCCACCTGCTAGTCATCCATCCACCGATGACCGTCCTCAACCGGACACCAGACACCACCGGCGCGTCCCGGCTCCCGCTGGTCGGTCTCGCTCCTCTCGCTCCTCTCGCTCTCCGGCCACGAGGATCGGCTTTCAACACCTGAATCCTGCGAGTCCACGGACTGGGACGATCAAGTCCTTTCGCACCAAGACCGTGCCCTGGAGGGAGTCACCAGTGTGGGCTGGCGTGGCGTGGGAGTCACACAACACATGGAGGGCGCCCGCCCATGTGACTGTTGGCGACCGGTGGTGACAGGTATACGGAAGCTCCAGTTTTGGTTTGGAGCTTGGCAAACCACCATTCTGTGTGGTCAGCGCCCCGTATACAGGTCCCCTAATATATGATAAATGGTATTAACTTACTTTGTTCTTCACACAGAAACCACTTGATCAGCTGTTTGAATATCAACCTCCCTGCGTTCGACTTGTGGATGTTTCGAGCCTCGCAGCGGTCGAGGTGAAGATGCTTGAAGCTCCTTGGCCGTGTTTGCGTCCGGTCACGTTTGAGAGCAATTCACCAGACAGCCGATGTGCAGCATGAGAACGGACATCTTGCGAACGGACATCGTTCGGGGCAAAACCGGTCAACCGAAGAGATTCAGCCTGTTCAGAGTCCTCACGACACCGTCGGGACAACCGCGCTTCGCGCGTCCAAGACCGCCTCCGTGGGCACCGGCGTGGGCACCGAGGAGCCCTGCTGCTATGAGCTCATCGCTGAGCTTCAGATGATCAGCGCTTGGCTCAGTGCATTGAGCTTTTTGGACGAGGACTTCGACGTGGACTTGAACGAAGGCCCGCCCGCACACACCCGGGCAACCTTGGAAGGTTTTGGGAGACAGAGCAGTCGACATCGCTAAGAGGCACTCGACCGTTCCAAAATTCCATATGAAATTTGTCGGAAGTGCCTTCAGTCTTGATTCGGGCTTTGAGATTTCACCCCCAGAACCTTCCAGCACCATGTGTTTGTTTGACTTGGTGCTTGTCATGTGTAAAAAAAGCCTGCACAGTCACATTCGCAGGTGAAGAAGCTTTGATGAAGATACACAACATGATGATGGACGTGGAGGCGCGTTTTTCTCTGCGAAACACCACTCGGCACCGTCGGCACCGCGGCTGGAGGCGGCGAACGCGTCCGACTGCTCCTCGAACTCCGGTGGGGGCGACCCAGCGGGAAGCGGAGAGCGGGGTGACTGCCGCATGCTCTGATTGGGAGCTATTTGATTGCAATCCCTTTCATGCTTTTGAGATCTTTTGATAACATGCCGAGGCTGATTTTCTGCACGTCATTTTGCATGCAAACGCATGCCGCCCAGAATTTGACTAGCTAGCGTTAAAGTTAAAATGAATGAGATGATTTTGCAAATACAATACATAAATAACGTTATTCCCTGTATTTCTACGCTTAAATGTAACAATTTCATTCAAATTCCAAATTGGAATCTAGAAACAGTTACGGTGAAGGCGAATCAGGAAATAGGACTATTATATATATATATATACTGTCTCTCTCTCTCTCTCTATATATATATATATGAGCAGCGTTCAAAACCTCTATGCAAGAATCACATGATCCGATTAAACTGCAAGACTGTCGCGTAAGCTAAAGTCCGCGCGGCGTAAGGATTGCGTAAGGTTCGGTGGAAGCCAAGCTTAGGACACTCGATGCGTAAGAGATGCGTAAGCAATTTTGAGTCTTCTAGTTACATCGCCAATATACTTTGTATAGTTTTTTGCTGAGAAACACTGCAAGCAGAAAAGGGTTGTGGACTCAATCTCTCAAAGGCCCCATTTGCAGGGATCGAGTGGCCCACGACCACATGAATTCCGCGTAAGCCGATTCGTAAGGTTTGCGTAGGCGAACTTCTCAGACGAAGCCCTTTGCTCACGTCCACCAAAAGTTCTTTCTAAAGAAACTAAAGCAAGCAGCTGCGTGGGAGAAGCACTTTTCAAGCATAAAGCGCACTTTGACCCTCGCTCCAACTGCTTGGTCCCCATGGCTGACAAAAAGAAGCAGCGGGCTCCACCAAGTAAATCATACAAGCAAAGTGTAAATTACTCTACTTCGAGGGATTCCTTCCTCAGAAGCTAGGAGCGCCTACTGCGATCTGGAGCTTGCGATTGAGGTCCGGGAGTGCTCACCGCGATTTGGCGCATGCTGTTGAGGTCCGGGATTGTCTATTGTGATCTAGCGCTTGCTCTTGTGAAACGGGCCGGGAAGAGGAGAAGGAGAGGAATCTTGCCCTAAAATCTATAGTAACTATCCTCAACAGGTTGGGAATAAAGAGTGTTCACCGCTTTGGTGGTAAAACGCCGGCAATAAAGCCGCCGCGTAAGAAACGCGTAAGCCCTAACATCACCGCGTAGGCGAAAATATTGGTAGCGTAAGTATTGCGGAAATTGACGCATAAACAAAGAAGGCTCATAGGGCTAAAATTTAAAGGACTTCGATTATCACTTATACAAATATTATTTAGGTTTTACTAAAATAATATATGTTATATTATATTTGATTTTTATATATTTTCATTTATAAATAAGGGATTATTATGAATGATATTAAATTGATTGATAATATGATATTTTTAATGATTTAATTTTATATATAAATAGATTTTTATAATTTATATTTTTTTGAATTAATCTAAAAATATATGATAATATTGAATATCTTTTGTGATATATTGGGAAAATACGATGATAGAATTATTAAAATAATATTATTTCTTAATTTATATATTCGATAATTATTATTATAAAATATATTTTTTTAAATATGGTTGATGAATTTTAAAAATGATACCATAAAAATATTTTTTTTAATATAATTATTAATGATCGTTCTTATTTATTTATATTTTTTATTTCGTTCCTATGCATTTATCGAGCATTTCTTGGACGCACTAGCGCTTTCCGTTGCAACATTCGGACGCATGTATAAGGAAATAAAACCTTATTATAATATTTTTTAAAAAATAGTTATAGCATGAGCGCATCGTAAATTAAATATTTGTAATTGATATTTTGATAGAATGCAACATTGCATTGATAAAATTTCAACCTATTTAATATTTTGAAAGATTTTGCATTTATTTGGCAATATTGCATTGATCTATTTTCGATTTGCATCTTTTGATATATATCCACATGTGTGTATTATTTATTCTGGTTTGTTGTAATTGTGCCGGTCATTTATTCCATGATCTGAATGAATTTCTGTTCGAATTATCTTTTGTAGCTTAAAAACAGGTCTTGGCATTATTGGCAAATGCGAATCAATTTTGTGCAAACTAGAATTATCAGATTACGGTGCTTTTTATAAGTATCATGGATATCGCACAATATTGTATGTAAATTGCAAATAGCTTCTTGCACAGAAACATTATGAAAAGAAAGATATTTCTTTGCAAGCACGAATTGGGTTTTCTCAAACCTAATCAACTCGATTTTCAATTCTTTATCACAGCAGTCCTGTTGCTGCTGCAGCCATTTTGCCACTTGCATGTGACCCGGCAGAGGTGCAGCTGCTTCCGGGGGTCACAATTTTGAAGTCATAAATAGCCAAAATAATGCTAGGCACGGTGTATATTGGCGATATCAATTTTGCGTTCCAAAATTACCAAAATAATGCAAATATGTTCGGTTCTCATGGTGTGGAGTACCGGATTGTTTCTATCGATCATTTGCATTGTTTGTTGTTTGCCTTCGTGCTTTTTATTATGGGTTTGGCCACGAATTTTGCGGTCACGCTGGAAGGCGAAGCTAAAGCCTAGGGAGATTCTTACCTTGCCCTTGCAGGAAGGCCCAGCTGAAAACATACGATCCAATAGCTTATCAAATATATGCTAAAATATTATAATCTGTATGGTATATTTGTACACTATATTCAGGAATATGTTATCGGCATGGTGCCTCAGACCTCTCGAACAAGGGACCGAGCTTAGCGTAATTCTGGATGGATTTGGGCTGGATTCTGAATGGATTTGTGCTGGTTTGGAATGATGTCTGGGCGTCCTGTCATCCCTGCTGCCGTGCCCGCCCTTGGCTGGCTGCAGGCAACTTGGCGGGTCGCCAATTGATATTGGACCTGTCTCGGGTTCAGACGAATTCCTCTGCTCAGAGGAAGCTTCGATCTTTGAGTTTACTTTTTATGCAACTATTGCGGGTATGGACGAAATGCGAACTTAATGGAGGTTCAAATTTGGGGTTTTCATATAAATTTATGCACTGCAAGTAGATGCTAAAATATACATATTATAATAGTTTTATCAAAATATTGAATCGATATGAATTTTCATATCAATTTATATTATTATCAATATTACGGATTGGGGTGCGATCGAGCAAAAATACGCGGATTTCTGAAACAACATATTCGATCTAATCGAATTATTTCCTATATTTTCGCCTTTTCATTTTTAGTTTTGGCTCCCTCATAATTGGTCTACGGCTTCCGTCGCGGTCCGGATCCCCCCCCCAAATAATTGGATTTTTCATGCATCGAATATAGCTCATAGAACCTAACTCAATGTAGACGAGATGAAAAATGTATGAGGATTTAAGCTTGGAGCTTTCCTGTACGCCTATGCACTGTAAGTAAATGCAAAGAATTCATAGATATACATATATTTATCGCAAAATATTGAATCGAAATAGATAATATGTCAATATCACTCAAGCTACCTCAATGTAGCTCACAGAATCTAACTCAATGTAGCTCCCAGAACTTCAGAGCATTTGGCCCCGTTTTTGCATGGCTCAACTTCTGATCCGTCCAGATCCGTTGGCGCAACTGACACTGGACCTATCTCGGGTTTAGACGAAGTCCTCTGCTTAGACGAAGCTTCACTACATTTCATAAGGTTTCGGGCTGTGCATTTAGGCTTGGAACAAAATAGAATAGTTCCCATTGATGAAGAAATCAATTTCAAATTATTGAAATGATTTGCGACTTTGACATTGGTTCTACCACAGGCACAGGGCAAGCGGGTGGGTCGCCAACTAACGCCGGATCTATTTGCGGGTCAGAAGAAATCCTTTGTTGAGAGGAAACGTTGCTATTTAATGGGGTTCAAGCTTGGAGCTTTCATATAAACTTATGCGCTGAAAATAAATGCAAAGAATTCACAGATATATATATATATATTTTTTTTATACCAACATATTGAATCGATATAGATAATATATCAATATCATTCCAATTCACTAAATATATTGAATATAATTTACAGATTCCGATCAATCCGGATCCTTTGACACCATCGCTCAACTCTCAGGAAGCGACAACTTGGTTGAAGCGTGAGTGCCGCGCAGCAATCCGACTACAGCTCCTAAAGTGACAGTCCGGCAGGCGACAATCACTCGGACGTATATCCATTGGTCAACCTAAATAATCAATTGCAATGGATGGTTATCCGCGCTTTCGGGCAAGTCTAGCGCAACGCTCTGGACTAGATTTTGTTTTTTCGGATTATTAATATATTATGCATGGGTTTCGAAAATATATTGTATTAATGGAAATATGAAATCAAATTCTTAAAATAAATATAGGTCCGTAATGTTTTTTTTTTTTTGTTTTTAAAAGAATATAAATAAAACATTAATTATTTGATATTGTATATAAACCCTTAAAATAATGGATATATTTTTTACAATCGTTTAAAATAAATACAATTAAACTATTCCATTTTGGTATAAATATAATTTATTTAAGATTTTATTTAATGCCAAAATTATTAATTTTTATCATTAGAAATTATATATTTAAACATATTAGTTATATATTAAATTTAAATACTATAAATATATTTTAAAATATTTTTTTTTTTTTTTTTGTTATTAATAAACCACGGACCTTTTTTTCCTTCTTAACCATCAATAAGAAACATAAATCTGCTTTCCATTCATCATATCAACGATTTTTTATATATCAATAAAATACATATTCAATAACCGGCCATAACGACACTCGTTGCCGCCCGGTTCTATTGCAAATCTCATCGATTATTTTCTATAAATTTCTTATTATCTATAACAACCTATTTCCATTAAATATTATAAATATTTCCAAATTAACCATTCCATAAATAACATTTTAAATAATCAATAAATAATATTTATATATAAATATAATTAAAATATCTATTTATTTATGTTAATTTATCATATCAATATTTAAGGTCGAAAATAAATAATAAAAATAATATATTTAAATCATTATATTTTCGGATTTTATAACATAATCATTAACGTCTAAATCAAATTTTAAAAAATTATTTTTAGAAAAATTATTCTATTTTAAAAAGGAGATAAGCAAGGCATATAAATTATCGGTAATTTCAAACATACGAATAATGTTATTATGCAAATTATATCCTATTGAATATATTTTTAATTTTGATTATTATTCAATAATTTTTAAATTTTCAATAATTGATTGTTTGTCTTCTTGAAAATGTTCTGACACCACGTGCTTGTTGCAAACGCCCTGACACCCTTTGCCAAAACGGTTTGCTCAAAGCACACGACCTCTCTGTCACACAGCCAGAGCAGGTCTTCCGGCGACCCTCAGCCTGTTGTGGTTCGTGTCCTGGACGAAGACTGTAAACCGAAAAGCCTCAGGCTGAGGCTTTTTCGTTTATTCTTTTGGGCGGCTTTTGTTCATTTTCACATTGCTCCTAGTAGCTTCTTGTTACTAGTAATGCCAGAAGCTACTAGTAGCGTCCTTGCTACTAGTAGCGATGCCCTTTGCTCCTGCTTCTTGTTACTAGTACTGGGACCATCTTCGGACCCCAAAACATGAGGTCTTTCACCTTTTCTTTCCCTATTCCACCAGCGGAGCTGTGGAACTGACTGAACTTCCTATCGCTCCGGTCGGTCTCGCTGCACGCGATCTCTGGGACTCCGGACATCCACAGCCTGGAAGATCAGGCCCCGCAATCGCACCTGACGGTCCAGCTCTCCCGCGGTGTCGCCCGGTTGCGCCGGCAGCTCGCAGCGTCCGGTTGCAGCGTGGGAGGGCTCGGGTGATGTCCGGCGTGACCCAAGGAGCCAGCGGCGCCAGCTGAGAGGGCACTCTAGAGAGGGGCCTCAAAAAATCATGGAAGTGGAAAACCACCTAGATGGTGGCCTACATTCCGCTTCCATGATTGTTCTAGGGAGTGTACAGTCAATAAAAAACAAGTAGTACGCAGCAACACGAAACTCCTTGCCGTAGCTTCCCCACCACTTGGGAACCACCACTACGGTGCTGGGTAGCAAACTGACGGCGTGCCGAAACTGGTGATCTGGCCTGCCACAAGGTGCAGGTGCTAAGAGGCCTGCCCAGGGTACGAAGCTGCGCTGGCAACCAGGCCCTGCCAGTTTTGGCACGGTGCAGGAGGTCCCACCTTCATGTCAGTCTGTGAATTCCAACCACCGAGCCTATCTTTGGAGCCTTCTGTACAGCAATCAATTGAGACACGAGGTCTTTTTGACACTCGCTCAATTGACTGCTGACATGCCACATTCTAATAAAACCTCGGCTCATTGACTGCACTTCTGCTCATGCTGCTCCTCGCATCGCTATCCGTCCGTGAGCTCCCAACCACATGCTTCTGCACTGTCCGTCATACCATCATTGAGCTCCCAACACGGTTCTTGTGACCAAAGTCCCACCCATCTTAATCCTCATGTCCGAACGACACAGCTCCGACGACGCTGGTTTTTTCTGCAGAAGTTCGGCAGCATGGACCAGTGCTGAGGACACGGCAACATCACTGGGCCGCACGCCGAAGGCACTGGCCTTGGGATGGCTGAAGTTGTGCAGCTTTGAGTGCAACTTTGACTGGTAACATGTGTCTACACCCTGCCATGTTTCGATGGTTGTTTCGATCTGTGCCGATTGTTGGATGTGCTTTTTTTTGTTGCCAGTGGTTTGTCACTTCCATGTTCTTGGCCCATTTCACCAAATAACATTAACTATAACTATACCTGCAGCTACCTGCGGGATACGATACGTGCTTCGTATACGTGTGGTTTGCCCAGTGGATCATCGGCTCCCCATGGCCTAGAGGCAGGCCTAGGGGCCTAGAGGCATCCGAACTGCTGGAACTGGGCTTCCTTTACTTCAAGATTCCACTGGCCAAACAAACATTTGTGAAAACAGGACTTCTCCATCTCAGAATCGAGGACAGCCCGATAGCCCTGCTTGCCACACTGCTTCATGCTGGTTCTATCTTCTTCTCGCAAATTCAACGAACGAGCAGACTGAGCTGCATCCTTTCAGAACCACAAAGACACGCTCTGGAAAGCCAAGCTGCAAGGGAAGACTCAGCTTTGGTTTCAGCTTTACCTGGCGGTTTAGCTTGCAGATTCTCATGCAAACTCGTTGCCCTTCCAAAGCCAACCGTCCAACCACATGCCAGGACCAGCCGTCATCACCTGCAGGCTTCGAGCTTGCCTCAACGTGGCAGGAATGCAGGAACACGCCCACCACATGGCACCCCAAACCATCCAAAACGCAGTACCCCCTTCGCGGACCTACAGATGCTTGTCTTCTTTGGAAGGCAAACCCGCTTAAATATCGGTTTGGGTTCCAATGGATCCTTTGAATTCTTGAACAGCTGAGTCACCACTGAGCCGGGCATCAATTCACCAAGGAAACACCAACGCCACCACACCCCCGTCCCTTCCCTTTTTTTTTTGTCGTCCACTCCGTCTGCCGAGCCACGTTGGCGAAATGTTTCTTGAAGTAGTCCGTGAGTTGGACTTCAAAATGCCGCTTGAAGGCCTCGAGTTCGGACGGCCACCGCGACCTCGCTCCGTCCGACCGAACCACCGACCTCAACCCCCTCCGTGTGACATTCATGAGATGTCTGATGGTTTTTTGAACGGCGGTTTTTGTCTGACAATTTCTTTGCTTCGCTGTCCAAAACCAGCGACCACGAAGGGACAAGGATCCACGGTTTTGACGGGATCTCTTCAGATCGGCCTGCTCCAGCCGGTGCGACCATTTGGAGCCTTGGTGTGTTCTCCCACCACTGGCGGGCGCCAAATTGTAACATGGTTCAGGACAAATTCTCTGGAAGCAGAGTCTGAAAACCGCACAAGAGCTTCATAAAGCTTCTGATGCTGAGGCGGGTTCCATCCAAATTGGGTCTCGCAAAGATGGCACTAGATGCATCTTTTCCTGCCGATCGATGTAGCACCAAACATCACCAAACACAAAACATACGCGCTGCAGAATCCCAGTCTTCCTGGGTCTTTAACCAGATTCTCAAAACTCCAAACTGTCCGTTCTCCAAACTGCAGTTTGTCACGTCTCATGTGCACTTCTTCAATTCGATCCCAGTTCCCGTCCTGTCTCGTTGTCAGTCCTCACAACTCCTCTCGTCTTCGCTTCTTCGTCCGAACGGAGCGACGTCGGCGCCTGAGCCTTCTCGGCTGGCACCGCTGGCACCCAGAGCCGAGGGTCGCACCGAAAGGTGCTGCCTGTTTTCAAACGACCAAGACGGAGTGGATGAGAAAGAGGAGAACGAAAAGAATGAAGCCAATAGAGAGATAGAGCAGGATTAGGATTGACATGTTTGGTGACATGTTACTGGTCTAGTTGCGGTTTTCCTTGATAATTTGGTGTTTGGGACATCTGAGACTCCTAATTGTTTGGTTTTGTTTCACCAAAACTAGTGAGACCATAAGAATCGATGGAGTTCTTAAAGTAAGGGTGCATGAATTTGAGAGATCACGGCTGCAAACCACATTTAGCCTCTCATACCCTCTCCCTCCTTGCCTGTGTCTGGCGGCAGAACCACGCCTTACTATCTGGAGGCTTGCCCAGAAAGCTCAACTGGCACAAGGGGGCCTTCATGAATAACCAATTGCGTTATATTTATACCTGTATCCTATAGCTAAATATTATGCTGTATTGAACTTGAACTCTTTCTGGACATCCAAGCTGCATATGCCCCACAAAACTCCCCCATAGGGTGAACTTGGTTGCAGAGTGGATGGATCAAAATGGGATCAGGTAGGGACACATCTCCAATTTGGAAGCTTTCGCAATTTGGAGTCATTTCAAGTGATACCATGTCATACCCATCATCTCAGGCTTTCACAAAACCAGCTACCATGGATGTCCATGCTGTTTCATTCTGCATCTGATCATGCCGAGACCTGCACACTTTTCGAAGAGCTACGGTCTCATCCGGGCTCTCGTCCTCAGGAAGCACGGCAGTCGCGGCAGTCGCTCGCCGTACGACCGGTCGAAGCCAAACGCGACCGGTCGAGTACGGGGGTCCTGGTGGTCGCCGCTCCGTCCATCGTGATCGCCTTCGACTTGCACGATCCGCGCGTCTTCTCGGGTGTTGGTCGCCAGGTCTCAGCTTGCCGAAGAAGAATCCATCCCAAATCCGTCAGATGCCTTTATCCAACTTCATGCTTCATCCAAATCCGTCAGCCATGAGAAAAACATCCCCTCCATCCGGTGGGCCTCGACCTTCCGGGCTCGCAGCCCGTCCAAAGTCAAACCTCGGCCGTCGAGTTCGGTGCCGAGCCCGATGCCGGGCCCAGGGGGGACAGCTGACGTGAGCGCAGCGCTGACCATGACTGGAAAGCTGACGAGCTATGAATTGATCGAACATCATATGAAGAACTGGTTTTAACCATGGTTTAAACATTCGAAAAAAACACGTGGTAACCTGGTATGTACGAGTGTCGTTCTGATTTGTTGAGAATCTGTTCCACAAGCTGAGGGCTCCGATCTCTGTGCATTGTAGGTCGAACTCATCATCGGCATCGTCAAGAGGTGGCAGATGTAAATCTGCCTTAAAATTGCCTTAGGGTCCGTGCGCTTCCCGCACCAGACAGGAGGCCATCGCTACTAGGGTGGAGGACTAGGGTAGAGGCCATCGCTCTTATGTACTTATTGTGGAGGCCATCGCTACATCTGGCTGCAACGCTGTTCCTCTCTACGCCGCCAAGTTGAATCGTTTCACCCTTTTGGATGAACGTCTTTTGACACGCCGGCTGAGCAGAGTGCAGTTCAAACGGCAAATGTTGTACATGGAATGCTGTACAACATGGTCCACCATAAGTAGAGCATGGCAGAGCTTTAGCAGCTGGCAGATCATGCAGGTGCACTGATCAGGGGCTTTTGCAGGTGCACTTTAGGGAGCGGGCAAACAGCTGGTGAAATCATTGGCGATGGCAAAGGAGACCTTGAGTTCAACGCGCGGAAATACTGTAAATCGCTTGGTAGCCGTCCAGCCCGGTCTAACCCCCCAACACTGATCAGCGCTTCTTGCTTGGCTTGGAGCAGCCTTTCAACATCAACCGCTTCAATCAAGCACATGACAGAATCCATTTTCCGCGCGACTTGCGTAGAAAAGAATCGACCGCCTTCCTACCTATAGAGGCCTTCGTACAAAAACGCTCGTTCGCCGCGCATGAAACCCATCAACTTCGTCTCCCAAACGACTCGCCTCGTTAGATCACGAGAAAACGACCCCTCATCCCTCAGCTTCCCGCGGACAAGCTGGAAAGGAATGGCCTGGGGAAACTTGTCGACCTCACAGCCGGTGCGGACCGTCGGGACCGGCGGGCTTCTTTCCGCCACGATGCGTATGGATGATGCGTCGCGAGGATGCCGGCGGGCCAGTGAACAGCTGAGATGCGGACGTATTGGTGAGCAAGCCCGAATTGAATCAAGATCCAAACTTTCCACTGTTGATGAGACCTAGGAGCGGCCCAGCAATGGAGCAAATTGTCTGCTGCAGCAGTCATGGTATCATCGAAAGAGATCTGTTCTGGGTTCTTCCATCGTCTTGCATGGAACCAACTTTGCTTTCAGGGTGCTCAAATTCTGTCCATACGGCAAAAAACACTATACAATTTGGTTCTATCCAAATGAGCCAAATGTCGATTTTTGAATACCTGTATTGTTTCTCTTGGACTTGAAGATCTTAAACAGGTTTCAATCATCTACAAAAATATCCAGCACACTTTTCAGGTGTGGATAATTTTTCGGAAGGGTGCGCCATGTTTGAACCCGTGCGCCTTCGGTCCATAAATCTATAAACTCGCTTGATTTCTGTGCACTTCACCGCGAAGATAGGTCGGTCTGAAGTCACTCAATGAGAACGAAGGGGTGCACTCTGAAGTCACTCAGTGCCCCCCCGAGGTCTTTCGGGCTTTGCACCGTCCAAACCAGGGAACCAACAGCCCTGGTTTACTGCCTTTCAAGAAACTTTTGGTCAAACACCGGTGAAAAAAAGGAGCGGTGAGCTGAGCTCGTCTTGTGGTGAATGTATTACTTTCCTCCACATGCTTCCATGTCAGAACAAACATGAACTTCTATTTTCGGCCCTTGGGTTCCAACGGCCCGGCGGATGGGGTCGGACCGCCTGGGAGGTCTCCCTATACGTTTTATACTACTACATTGGTCAGGATTTTCCATGGTCCATGCTCCTCACCTCACCATGTCCTTCAATCCCAGTGGCTGTACCATGTCCTTCACCCACAGCTGCCAATGCTGAATCAACACCTTGAGACGCGAATCGAAAGCGATGTCAGCGAAAGCCACGTCCACGCCGTTGGACAGAACATGGTACCTACTATACCCATGCAAGAGGCAGGACTTCGTGGCCATGTCTTGAAATGGGGGTCCCCCCCAACCAGTGCCTTCTCATCAAAGTATTTCACCTCCGGCACCTCACTAACACATCATTCCATATTCCTACCACCGTAAGACTTAGTTGTTCTATGATCCAAAAGACAACAAGGGGGACATGTGGAGACCTTATGTAAAGCGTCAGCGTGGTTTAAAAAAAAAAACGCGGGTCCAGAACAGGTCGCCCCACAGCGCGTGATCATCTTCTCTAAAACACCTCGGGCGCTTCAGGTGGCCCAATCGGCAAAGCGGTCCAGTTTCTCCAGTTCTGCACGAAGAAGAACACTTGGATGTCATAGTCGATCAACTGTCAGTTGAAATCCCTTAAATGTCTACCATGATTTGCGGATTAGCAAACATGAATTCAATTGATGAATGATGAATGACTAAGCATTCCACAAGGCCACATCTCACAAAGAAGCAAACCTGCTATCATTAAACTTGGGGGACGCGAGACGTCGACTGCCGCGTGGAGGTCCGCAAGGTACGCCGACGAACTACCTCCAGTCGTTCGCCGTCTCTGGCAAGCTGCTGGGCTGAACTGGAGACTCATCTTCGCTGCATCGATCCTCTCTGTACATAATGAGACCTGGTCACACAAGACATATAGCTGCAAATATAAATGCAATAAATACGTATAATATACATGCATTGCAATATGATGCATTTGTTGGGTGCAAGATCTGCAGCCAGAAGTTCTGCTTGCCCATGAGTGCTTCTTCTGATCTGCACACCGCTCGGCCTATTTGGTGCAAGGTCAATCCATGCTCCGCTCCCTTTTGCAAAAGCATCGTGGTCCTTGGCGCTGCCGCTTCTTGTCGCCGCTGCGCTTCTGTCGTCCCGGTGCGTCCCGTGCGGCGGCCCGGGGCGGAGCCCTGTGGCGTCGGCACCGGTCGATGGGTGTTCACCCAAGGTCCACACACCTCCATTAAACGAAGGCACTCCCGACCTGGGCGGCTGATGGCGGCTGCGGCACTCCACGGTTTTTTTTCTTTCGTGTCGCGTGAGAGGTACGTCGCGCGAGAGGTTCTTGTGCCATGCTCCAAAGGTCTTCAAGTGATCAGTGCAAGTATTTCGGGTCCACACGACGAAAGTAGGGAATGTCTGCCATTCAAACATATTCAAAACACTCCCTGCGAAGCTCTTTACTGCCAGGCTGCCAGGGCCCACACGCACTCCGACCTGCCTTTCGATGCTCACAGCATCCCGAGCTCCATCCAAAGCCCTGGCGGCAGTCGCAGATTAATTCGCAGGTCATTCACGGCTCCCAGAAAGGGTTCCAAATGAGGTATGTTCAAGTACACTCCTTGAAATCATGGAAGTATGGCACCACCTGTTTGTAAAATGGTGATATTATATTGAAAAAGGAACCATGCAATCCACTTCCACGATTATTTCAGGGAGTGTAATATGTGAGGCTCCATCTAATCTGATCATATGAATTACAATTTCAAGAGTCAAGAACTTGTTCATCTGTAATGAATAACCAGATCACAAATGGCACAGTCACCCAGGCTGCCCCCGACAATCTTTGTGTCAACTATTCCCAAACCACAGTACCAACCACTTGCATTCATTGGAGGATGATCCTGTGAATAGATTGGTCGCATTCCAAAAAGGTCGCGACCGCATCTGGCGACCGCATCTTCTCCGCATCCTCTCGCCTGATATACTCCAGTTCTTTGGCTCCAAAGGGCTCTCGGGCCTGAGAGACGGTGCGCGAAAACGGTGCACGGTCGGTGCTTTAGGGCGAGATGGAAGAAAAACGATAACATGTTGTTTAAGAAATATAGAGAACATAAGTAACGTTACGTTTCGTTTCACAAACTTGGAACCCAGGTCACCAGCTGGAAGGTGGGTTGAAAGATGTATGTCGACACAATGATCAGTTCATCCAGTCTGCCGTTTCTCAAAGCCTTTTCCAAAAGAACTTGAAACGACAATGCCGGTGCCAGTCCTGAGGCCACTCCATCCAAACCAGGTCGCAGGTATAGACCTGAGGACGGACAGAGAGGACTCGGACAGAGAGGATTCGGAGGTCGGATGGAAACCGAGACGATGAACGCAACCATGTTCGCTACGTTCGGGGCTCCTGGCCTTACTACGAATGGAGCGATCCGACGCGACTCGAACGGGGCGAAACTGACATCGCGAACCGAACGGAGCATTCTTGCTTCTATTACGTAACTTAAGAAACTACTATAGGAACAAGTGCATCGCTTCGTTCGTAACAAGTGCCTTACTAGTAACAAGAAACTACAAACAGCAAGTCACTGAGATGTCTAGACAGTCAGGTCGAGAAACCCTCCTCCGAGTCAGGTCGACTCTCGCCCGTCCTGCCCGACGGTCGACTCGAGCAGCTGACCGTCATGTGTTTTGGGGGGGGTCTTGAGGCGAAGGTCTTGACGGTTTCCATCGGTTTCCCATGGTCTCCCTGTTGAATTAGAACATCCTTCCATGAATCCAGCCACACCCGAACGGAGACTGCCGTGGACGCCGTGGACTTTCCCATGTGGATACCGCAGGAGACCGAATCAGACCGAATCTGCCCCCGATCGGTTTGGAATCACCGGCACTCACTCAAGCTGATTGGATCCTGGTTTTGCAGCGACCAAGGTCTCTGCCCCCCCAAAACATCCAAACACTGCTACCAATCCACGGCCGCGGCCCAAAAATTGCATGGCCGCCTCCAATCGGTCTGGAAGGGAAAGGCCGTGGTCAATGGGAATCAGCTTCGGCCTGTAACAGCAGGTTCCGGAGACATGGTTTAACGGTTTCGGGTGCAGTTGGTGCAGTGATCTGCAAACAACAGGTGAATACTCCTAGATTGTATGAACTTGAGCATTCCTGTTCACTTTTTTTTCCTGGTGCAATCTTCCTTGGGATCCAAACCAATTAGTATTGTGACATGTGGGTCATGGCGAAATGGTAGTGTCCAACAGTGTCGTGCTCATTTTTACAAGCAGTGGATGAGATGAAGAGGATGCTTGAAGTGGCCAATTTTGTGCTCCGTTCTTGATCTCGTTTCACATGAATTCACTTTCGGACCTAGATGTTTGGGGCCAACGTACCGAGTTAGGTGTCTTTGCAGAATACTGGCGCCAATAGATCATCCAACCAAAGGGAACTCCTCACGTCGCGGTGAGCACCTCCGTTTCGTCAAGCCGCCGCTCCGCCCCGCTTCCCCGCTCCCCCGCTCCGCTCCTTCGGTTTTCGATGGCCACGAGCAAGTTGCCGTCGTTCCGGTCCAAGTTCACGAGCCGCACCTCGGTGCTGCGGACCGCGCGAGGCTTCGAGACGGAGTGAGAGACGGAGGGTCGTAGTGGGGCACCCAGTGTTGCCGGAGTAGCTCATCGACTTCGGTTCCAGATGTTTTGGGGTTGAAAATAGGTTGGAATGGTACAACATGGTACAACTACTATCAAATAGCTATATTAGCAGCTATATCACATGCAATTTCATGGAATTGACCAGGTCCCAGCTGGTACCGTTTCGCGTGGTCTTCGTCGCCGTTTCGCGGACCATCGCGGTTCCCCGTCGTCTCAGACCCGACCTCAGACCGCATACCGCTCCGCTCGACTGGCAGCCGGACATCCAGGATACCGATCGCGTGGACTGAGGGCACGCTGAACATCTGCACGCGAGACCGGACGGGTTTTGGATCTTCTTTGTTTGTTTGGTTTTTCTTCATGTTTTGCGCAGACCGACATCAGGAAAGAAAGGAGATGGACATGGTTAAGGGGTGGAATTTTCCTCATTGTCATGTCATGTCTATCAACAGTTCCTCTCACATAAAGATTTATGACCAGACCCTATTGGTTGTTGCTCCATCTGGTTTCATCCCATGTTCTTTGCATCGAGCAAATCCCGCAAGATGCCGTGACTCGTGACTCGTGACGCGTGGTGACATGAGCTCTATGTCGATGGGAAAACATCGATGGGAAAATCCGACAGACCACACACTATACTCACTTACACCAAGCATGAGTCTAGACTCTTCATCTTCTTCCAGCTCACCTGGTCAGCAGAAACCTTGCAGAAGTGGCTACCTCTTCGCTTCCCTCCACGCTGGAACCCCGAGAAACCGCGTAACCCCGCGCGTAACCCCGCGCGTAACCCCGCGGCGTGTATGTTCCCGCCGCGTAACCCCGCGTCCGGGCAGACCTGGCGACCGTAATCCCCGCAGGTGCCCTGCGAATGGACGAACTCTTGGAACGCGCCAATCTTCCAGGCCACCTGGCGAGACCGAGCGAGGGCCGCAGGCCGCAACCGCCGCAACCGCCGCAGGGCCGAGCCGAAGATGGAGCGCATCGAGGTGATTCAGAGCGGTGGAGGTGTTGTACTGGGAGCTCTGGTCATATGGCGGTGGCACAGGAGAGCTGGGACCAGGCAAAGTGAACAGATGGACTACTAAGGAGGGTCAACCTACCGGGTTTGAGGCTTCGGGCTTGGAAACACAGCCAAATTGGATCATATTATGGATTGAAATGTGAGACGTGAGACATCGTGACCGTGGAAATGAGCAGAAGATGTCAGGATTCTACCGGTGGTCTACTCACAGTTGAATGAGCTTGCAAGGTTGTGGCTATGCCGGCTAATGCTATGCTATTCCAGCACAACAGTTCTGTGCTGTTCGAATGCTGCAACTCATCAGCTCTTAACATCAGCAGAACCCAGCGGACCAGCTACAGACTGACTGCCCACATACCCTCAAAACCCCTGACTGACTGCCATGCAAACCTTCTTGTTGGGATTCACGAACGATGGATGCTTCGCATGTACCTTACGAGGCACACGAAGCAACGCTGCACAAGAAAAAAAGGCGTGTGGCATTGCCCTGCAGCACAGCGTGGTTTGCGTGTATGGGCACCATCGTAGTTGGAGGAACCCCTGCGAATTGTTTGTGGTCCAGCAAATAGGCAGCCACCTTCCCAGGGCGTTGATGGCAACACCTTGACATCTCTCTTTAACCAATGAATCAAAATGGGCGCGTCTGATTGACAAAACTTGGATAACTACATCACTTGACAAAACCTTTACTTTTGAACATACCGGATCACTCAGCCTGTGACATTAACACAGTGCACAAAAGAAAATAAAGAAACACCTATAGGAAGACGACCAAAGCTGCTGTGAAATGCATTCTGTTGATGAAATACATTGGCCACACCCTGCCGATGGCCTCTCGAGCGGCCTGCTGCGTGGAACAAACACCCTGCCGCAAGCTCGGCGAATTCTCCTGCTGGCGCCGAAAGGCGAAAGTGACCAAAGCACCGGCGGGAGACGCCTTTTTCGGATGCAAACGGAGGCGCCAACAGAACCAAACGAACGAAGGAAGCATCTCCCCCGGTCCGCCGGTGGAAGCCGAAGCAAGTTGGAGCGCGTCAGGGAATATATATGGAATAGATGCATAGCGATGGATAGGAGCTTTACTTCAACCGATGTCCCAAAGCGCTTCACAGAACCGGATTCTAAGTGCTGCCAAACATGCAATAATTCATTAGACCATACTTTTCCTCACTCATGTCTGTGTGTGTGCCAGGATATTGTATTATGCAATTCCGCTTTTGTCATATAATATGGTGAAGCACTGAACAACGAGAAACAACCTTTGCATCCCAAGAGTCTCCCATAGTCTCCCCATCCAGCGGAGTGAAACACTCATGATCATCATTTAATCGAGATCGCCACTGTGCTTGGTCTCTTCGAATCCAACCGATTCGATTCCGAAACGGATCACACTCCTCGGCCACATAGCCACGTGGATTGTTCGGTGCAAAAGCTTCCTCATCCTTTGGCTTGAACCTGGCGACGTCATCGATTACTCCCCGGTGATCATGGACGAAGGGACGAGAGTATACTGTGTGTGGAAAACCCACAGTAGACTCAGTTTGGGAGTCCGGGAGTCTCAGTTTTCCGGAAAACACATGTCTACACATGTCATTAGAAGACATGCGAGCACTCCGACGAAGTCATGTTTTTTTTGCTTTTTCGTAGGAGCAAGAAGCTAGGAACAAAGGCTCGGATGGTCTCCTTTTCCTGGGTAGGAACAAATCCCATCTTGCCCCTCAGCACCATGTCCCTCTACCTGGCGTCTCGGAGAAGTCGCTTGGCTAATCCTCTGAGTAGGTCTGGGCATGTGAAGTATCACTGGTTACGCACTTCCCTGGTATTTTGGTTCAATCTGAGGCAACCCACACAGCCAAGGTCTTTCCAGAGGAGGCTCCTCTAAGCATGTACCTCTTCGGAAGCTGAATGAGAGGTAGCTGGACATGCCAACGCCAAAAGCAATTGCAAGCGGCGACGCTTAGAAGCAGTGTCACGTGGCTCCAGTTCCATCTTCCGTCAGCTTGGGCTTGATGCCGGTCCGCATTGCATCACTAATCTCATTGACCTTATGATCACAGGGCATTTCTGCAAATAGACGAAAATTACATCTCTCAGACACACACACACACACACACGATGTGGACACATGTTTACGTCACTCATGCTCAGGGTGTGGTTTGGGAGGACCGTGAATACCATTATACTTCTGAGACACCATGTGGCACCATGGCCAGCTAACTTCCGAAATCCTTCAGCTAACTCGTCGCTCTCAGGTCGCAGCTAACTCGAGCAACGAGGACCGCGTGGGCACTTGCTCATCTCGATACATCCCGATGTCTTTGGCCTCCTTGGCTCGCGCATCACTGCGCCGCCCGGGCACGCCGAAACCCGTGCGGGTCGTGAGGAGGCCCAGCGATGATGGATGATTGGTCCAGCTGGGGAGCGGGCGGAATCCATCCTGTCGCCCTGATCTAGGAGGACAAATTGGATCTCTGCCGGACTGCGCGAGCAAACACGAGCAGTGAGACAGTGGCACAAGTTGGGTTTGGGTTTGTCTGTGAGAATCTGAAATCAGCGCAGCTTGTGGCACAAGCACAAATCGGATACACAAAGATCCCAGCTTCTTCAAAGTGACCTCTCTGGAGTGCCTAGGTGACCTTTTAGAGGCCCTATTGACCTGAAACGGTCCATTTCCACAGAGGTCACTTTGAAGAACCAGGGAAGGATAAGTGTCAGCACATTCTCCTGCCTGAATGCCGTACTGTTCTTGATGTAGGTCTCTACGCAGTGTCTGTTACGCAGTTCAATTCCCTTGTGCAGTAGCCTGGAGGTTGGGCTTGGTGCAGCAAGGCACGCATGCAAAAAGATCAGTCGTGAGCATGATTGAGGTCACAGACTAAAAAGATACTGAAGGCACTACTATACTACCTCTTGCAAACATGTCTGGTGGAGGAGAGCGTTGTGATGGCAGGCCGGAAGTATGGGAGGAGGTGGTTGTACGCGGTGTTGATGATGCTTAAATGGGATTTTAGCATCGTAAGCATTTTGCTTCCTGCCAGGTCAACACAGCATGGGGCATGAGACTGCGCCGGAAATGATGCACAATACATCCAAGTGCACCTTTTGTTGACATTGGTATTCCAAACATGTCAACTGAATTGCCAAGGGCTATGGACTTCCCTTAAAACATCCTTAATGATGGCACGATTGGTCCATGCCAATAGAAATTGAAAACAAAAACCGATGGTCCATGCCGATGGACTTCGACTTCGACCGACAGACCTCTGAAGTCTTGGACTCTTTGGACCCGTTTCACCACATCGACTCATCACGACCGACCCACCGACCCACCGACATCAAATCGACAAGAAGAAAAGGAGAAAACGTCAACAACCCATCGAAAACCATCACATCCCCAAACAAAACATATAGGAATACCATGGAATACCATGCAGATGTGTCGTTTGTGTCCTGTTTTTTTCCGCGAAAACCATGCCTGATGTTGTGATCCGGAATCGCCTCACGGCCACACATGCCACCGGCCGCGGCGTGCAAAATCCGCCGGCGCAACGGACGGATTTTCCTCTCCGAGTGCCGGGCCCTGAGTCCAGAGCGGTGTTCCTGCGAGACGAGATCAACGTTTAAATCAGTTGGAGGTTTTAAATAGTTTAAGGATGTTTAAAACAAACGAAATAAACACATTGTCATATGTTTTTCTCACGTGATGTTCTCTTGCTTCAATCTTTAGACTTTCTGTTAGATGGCTTTTCCTTTTTTCACCGCATCTCGATACGAAATCCACACGCAGTGGCTCCCGCATCTGCTTCTTGATCATCTGCCAGGTATTGAAGGGCATTACCTCAACCAACTCACCCGACCCCAACAACCAGTCCATCCGTGCGACGAAACATTGGATCTCGAGGCCATCTCAGGGGCACAGAAGACGACGGAGTCTTGAAGAGGTGCAGGCCTTCCTACCCCTTCCATAGCCTTCCTTTGCAGACGTGAAAAGGGAGTCGGCAGAGAGGCCGTGTCAAAGGCCTATGGTTGAGGTTTTGGAGCTTCTTTTTCAACTCTTTCTCAAGCTGGAAACCCAGCGGTTCTCCTGCTCTGAAACGCGGGTGGCCCGTCGTTCGGGTTTCGGTTCTTCTTTCCGCTCACTCGGGTGGCCACCGTCAGGTCAATGCCTTGGCGGCACGGGATGGCACGGGACTGGATGGGATAGGCGGAGCAGGAAGGAAGGACGGAGGAACCGGTGCAGGTGGGGTGAAGGGAGAGCGAAATGTTCGAAGATATATTGCTGGTCTCAGTGGATGGTCAACCAAGAAGGGATCAACCATGCAGTCTCCGCCAAGTGCACCAAAAAAGATACAAGATACAGGCAAAAGTCGGCCAACACCAACAACTGGATGAACTGCTAGATCTTCGACATGTTTGAGCAAAATCGAGTTTTGTGTTTCCTTTTTTCGTGACCCGACTCTCTTCTCTTGTCCTTCTCTCGTCCGGGGCGATGGCAGTCGGTATCACGTTGACCCGGATGTGCTGAGCGTATCCTCAAATGGACCTGAGACGTGTCACGCCCGAGCCGGTCCGAGGATGTTCGAGGACCGTGGTGTTCGGAATGCTGAAACACTGGAAGTAGAGAGACCTTCTAGGGATGACATGAACGTATCCTCTTTAATTTTCTATAAAGAACATATTAAATAGTAAAAATAAGAAAACACAAACAACCATCGAAACCCATCACATCCCAGAAAATGATATGAACATATAGGAACACCATGCAGATTTGTTGTTTGTTTCCTTTCTTATCTTTTTTTCAATGTTATGTTCCTCTCGTCTGCTTTCCACTCAGAAGACCGACAAATGGCTCCTTCAGCCTGAGCTCTTCACAGGCTCATCTTCGACAAGGCCCATCTCCCCAGCATAAGTGGCCGGGTCATTACTGCCAAACCTCAACCGACTCTGCAAACCAAATGATGG